GTGAGTACAGTACTTTACCCCCTCCCCCCCTATTTTCAGTTTTGCTATTCTGTGAACTTTTATTATATTATTATTGTTATTGTTGTTGTTATTGTTATTATTATTATTATTATTATTATTAATGTTGTTGTTATTATTATTATTGTTATCATTATTATTATTATTATTATTATCATTATTATTATTATTATTGTTATTGTTATTATTATTATTATTATTATTATCATTATCATATTATTATTGTTATTATTATTATCATTATCATTATTATTATTGTCATTATCATTATTATCAATATTATTTGTTGTTGCTGTTATTGTTGTTTCTCTGCTCTTAATTTTGCTCTTATCTGCTCTTATCATTGTATGTTTAAGAAATTTCTATTTCTAATCACATTATCATTCCAAAAGATTATTCACAACCCACATTGTCAGGCATGAAATATACGTCATCTTTAAACTATATATTTTTTCGTGAATGAGAATATTCGACACAATTCGAACAGCCAAGTACCAAGTCTACAATAACTATCTAATAGATAATAGCAATAAAAAGCAAACACATTATTAATCTATGTGTTTGTTTACATTTGTTTTAGTAATTAATATCATTAGGATAAACAATTTAGCTGAATTTGCCAGGGGTGTTTACTGAGAAAATCTACTTTTTCTCTCTCTTTCTTTCTCTCTCTCTCTCTCTCTCTCTCTCTCTCTCTCTCTCTCTCTCTCTCTCTCTCTCTCTCTCTCTCTCTCTCTCTCTCTCTCTCTCTCTCTCTCTCTCTCTCTCTCTCTCTCTCGTTCTCTCTCTCTCTTTTTTTTTCTCTCTCTCTCCCTTTTTCTCTCTTTCTCTCTCCCTTTTTCTCTCTCTCTCTCCCTCACACACACGCACGCACACACACACACACACACACACACACACACACACACACACACACACACACACACACACACACACACACACTCACTCACTCACTTTCTCGTCCCTAATCACTGAATAAAATAAATATTTCAAATCACATAGCATTCTATCGTGCAACATGCTGTTAACAGTGACCACGTAAATAGCCCTTCTTTCTAAATATTAGTCTACTGTGATCATCATTACTCGCGGTGAAAGAGAGAGAGAGAGAGAGAGAGAGAGAGAGAGAGAGAGAGAGAGAGAGAGAGAGAGAGAGAGAGAGAGAGAGAGAGAGAGAGAGAGGGATATATATATATAGAGAGAGGGAGAGAGAGAGAGGGGGGGGAGGAAGGAATGGAGGGAGGGAGGGAGGGAGGGAGGGAGAGAGAGAGAGAGAGAGATGAGAGAGAGAGAGAGAGAGAGAGAGAGAGAGAGGGATATATAAAGAGAGAGGGGGGAGGGAGGGAGGGAGAGAGAGAGAGAGAGAGAGAGAGAGAGAGAGAGAGAGAGAGAGAGAGAGAGAGGTAGAGACAGAAACAGACAGATACTCAAACGAGAGAGTGAGAGTGGGGAACAGATAGACAGACAGACAGACAGAGGATATACTCGTATACTCGTATGTATATATTGTAGCCTAAAGTTCTAAATTTAAAAGGGTGCATTATCAGCTGTGAATATTCATCCATCCATCTAAAAGATTAATCGGGATACTGTATCAACAATATGGTTGGTTTCGAAGCTGATAGAGAATAACACTGATAACGTAATATTAACAACAGCAACACTAATAATGAGGATAAAAACAACATTTTCATTAACAGACGCTTACCCCCTCCCCCCCTCCCCCCCCTTTCTCCCTCCCCATTCACTCCCTTAACTCCCTCCTCCCCCCCCCCCTCCCAACCTTCCCTCCCCCTCTTTTAATTTCCTTTCCCCTTACCCCTTTCCTCTACCCCTCCCCCCCCAACCCCACTCCTACTCTTCCCCTCCTTATCCTCCCCCCCCCCTCCCTACCTTCTGCCCCTCTCCCCCCCTCCCGACTTTCTACCCTCTACCCCCATCCCTACCGTCTGCCCCTCCCCTCTACCCCTCCCCTATCCCCACTCTTCCCCCACTCTTCCCCTCCCTCCTCCCTCCCCTCTAACCCTCCCCTATCCCCACTCTTCCCCTCCCTCCTCCCTCCCCTTTTCCCCTACCCCCACCCACCCCCACTCTTCCCCTACATGATGATCTATGGAATATTTATGTTGAGTTCATTTGGCGAGAGCTCTGTAGGGAAGTTTAGTCACCCCGACGAAAAGAAGGGGGGAGGGGGAGGGGGAGGGAGAGGGGAAGGAAAAGGGGAAGAGGGGGAAGGAGGGGAGGAGAGGGGGAGAGGAAGGGAGGAAGTGGAGGAAAGATGGAGGTAGGAAGAGAGAGGAAGGATGGGAGAGGAGGAAAGAAGGAGCTAGGAAGAGGGAGATGGGAAGGAAAAGGGGAAGAGGGGAGGAGAGGGGGAGGAAGAGGGGAGATGGGGGAAAAAAGGGGGTAGGAAGGAAGAGGAAGGATGGGAGAGGGAGAAAGAAGGAGCTAGGAGGATGGAGAGGGGAAAGAAAAGGGGGAGAGGGGAGAAGGGGGAAGGGAGAAGAAAGGGGGAAGAGGGGGGAAAAAAGAGGATAGAGAGGGAAGGTAAGGAAGAGGGGTAGGAAGAGAGAGTGAAAAAGGGTCAAAGAAGAAGGACGAAAAGGATAGGAAGGAAGAAAGGAAGAAAGAGAGATCGTGAAAAGGAGGAGGAAGAGAAGAAGGAGAAGGAAAGGCAGGGCGAAAGGGGGAAGAGGGGGGGGGAGGAGATAGAGAAGAAGGAATTGCAAAAAGAAGGAAGGAAGGGAAGAAAGACAGGAAAGGATGGATGAAGGAGAGAGGAGAAAAAGGAGAAAGAAAGGAAGGGAGGAAGAGGAGAAGGCGATGGTGTTTTTCTCATTCTTTATCTTTTCTCTTTTCATCCTCGTTTCCTCTCTTTCTTTGACGTTTTCTTTATTTATCGTTCTTTTCTTCTTTTCCGTTGACTTGCTCTTTATTTATCGTTCTTTTCTTCTTTTTCTTTGACTTTTTCTTTATTCCTCGTCCTTTTCGTTTTTTTCTTCACCTTCTTCTTTTTCTCCGTCTATTTTTTTTCTCCGTATTCCTCCTCCTCCTCCACATTCTTTTTTGTTTTCTCTTCTTTATCCTCGTCTTTTGCTCCTACTGTTTACGTTCTCTCTCTCTCTCTCTCTCTCTCTCTCTCTCTCTCTCTCTCTCTCTCTCTCTCTCTCTCTATATATATATATATATATATATATATATATATATATATATATATATATATATATATAAATCTTCTTCTCTCTCTCTCTTTCCACTCATACACTTCTACACACACACACACACACACGAACACACGCACACACACACACACACACACACACACACACACACACACACACACACACACACACACACACACACACACACACACACACACACACAGAAAGAGAGAGAGAGAGAGAGAGAGAGAGAGAGAGATAATACACATGAATGAAAGTGTCAGTGCTTCATAACTCCCTCCTCCCCCACCCCCTTAAAATAACAAATCTTCATTTTTTTCTGTTCTCTCTCTCTTTCTCTCCCTCCCCCCCCCCCCCCCTTCCTTTTTTTTCTGTCGACCCTCTCTGCGTATGACACTCTCTGCAAATGGCACGTGGTCCGCCCTTGGCACTCTCTGGCGAACGCTGAGGCACTGTTTCCCACGGTCCACAGTGCTGCGGGAGGCAAGAGGCACCGACGTACAAACACACACACACACATACACACACACACACACACGCACACGCGAACTCTTTCTCGCACATGCCCCGTTTTGTTTGTTTGTTTTCTTTACTTTGCTTTGTTCTTATTTTTTTGTTTTGTTTTGTTTTGTTGTTGTTATTTTTTCATTTTCTTTTCATTTTCTTTTCTTTTCTTTTCTTTTCTTTTTCTATTGTCTTTTCTTTGTGATATTTCTTGCTCATTTTTGTCTATTCCTCGGGACAGTTCTTTACATACACGTTATATGCACGGATAGATAAATAAATAGATAGATAGATAGATAAGTAAGTGGATAGGTAGGTATAAAGAGGTATGAATAGATAGATAGATGGATGAACAAATATAGAGTTCAATAGACAGATAGACAGATAGGTAAATAGATACATAGGCAAATAGATAAAAAGGCATTGATATGGTACAGATAGATGGATAGATGGACAGATTAACACACACACACACACACACACACACACACACACACACACACACATATATCTATCTATCTATCTATCTATCTATCTATCTATCTATCTATCTATATATATATATATATATATATATATATATATATATATATATATATATATATATATATATATACACATATACACATATATATATATATATATATATATATATATATATATATATATATATATATATATATATATATATATAGTTATATATATAGTTATATATATATATATATATATATATATATATATATATATATATATATATATATATATATATATATATAACAGATTAACATAGTAATGATGACAATGGTAATTATAATGATAATGATAACAATAACAATAACAATATCAATTAAAAATTATCCTAGTAATAAACCGAAACCAGATCCAAGGCCAGCAACAAAGACGCCACCTCCCCTTGGCACTAATCTCCGGTGTGGCACTCCTTTCGGGCTTGCGAGCGGGCGTGCGGGCGTGCGGGCGTGCGGGCGGGCGGGCAGTGGAGGTGCCATGTAAACAGCATCCGCCAATCCCTCCCACTCTCCCCCTGGGCGTGACTGGCGCCTGCCCATCGCGTGTGGCACTGGGCATGGTGGCCCTCTCCCTCCCTCTCCCCTCCCCCCGCGCCAGTGCCACCTCCCCGAAGGCAGTGAGCTTGGCTTGGCTTACACACGCTGCCGGTTTGTTCGTTAGACTGTTCTTGTGTTTTTGATTTTTCCGTTTGTTTTGACTTTCCGTGTTTGTTTGTTTGTTCTGCATCTTGTGTTTTATTTTCTGTATATTTTGTTTTGTTTTTCCTTT